ATACTGTTATTAACCGATGAACTTTCTTAAGGTCTTTCTGTTGCCGGATTACTGACACTGTCACTTGACTAATATTGACCCTCTTTACCTCACCCACGTGGATACACACCTCCTGTAGTTGTTTTGCCTAACAATGTCCCTTTGGGTCTGTGAGATTCTGTAAACTGTGCTAGTCTTCATGATTTTCTGTACGACATATATATATTTTTAATCGAGACAGGGTCTCACCCTGTTGCCCGGGCTGGAGTGCAATGGCGCGATCTTGGCTCACTGCAATCTCTGCCTCCTGGGCTCATGCAATCGTCCCACCTCAGTGGACCGAGTAGCTGGGACTACAGGTCCACACCCGGCTAATTTTTGTATTTTTCTGTAGAGATGGGTTTTCACCATGTTGTCCAGATTGGTCTCAAACTCCTGGACTCAAGCAATTTACCCGATTTGGTGCTGGGATTAACAGGTGGGAGCCACTGTGCCTGGCTCGTTCTGTGCAACTTAACTCACTGGCAAGAATACAACATTGGACCTCTCAACCACTAGAACAGTTTTTTTTTTTTTTTTGAGATGGAGTCTTGCTCTGTCGCCCAGGCTGAAGTACAGTGGCATGATCTCAGCTCACTGCAACCTCCACCTCCCAGGCTCATGCGGTTCTCCTGCTACAGCCTCCCAAGTGGCTGGGATTACAGGCGTGTGCCACCACACCCGGCTAATTTTGTGTATTTTTAGTAGAGACGAAGTTTCACCATATTGACCAGGCTGGTCTCGAATTCCTGACCTCAAGTGATCCATCAGCCTCTGCCTCCCAAGTGCCTTATAAGTGTGAGCCACCGCGCCCAGTCAGGAACAAAATTTTTTAAATGGACAGTTGCAGAATTGTGGAGTGTTTTTATATTAATCTTTTGGTAATGCAATTAGCAGTATGTTTTGTATGTATGACTTAATAAATCCTTCAATCATTAAAAAAATAAAGAATAGCCGGGCGTGGTGGCTCACGCCTGTAATCCCAGCACTTTGGGAGGCCGAGGCGGGCGGATCACGAGGTCAGGAGATCGAGACCAACCTGGCTAACACAGTGAAACCCCGTCTCTACTAAAAATACAAAAAATTAGTGGTGGCAGGCACCTGTCCCAGCTACTTGGGAGGCAGAGGCGGGAGAATGGCATGAATCCGGGAGGCGGAGCTAGCCGTGAGCCTAGATTGCACCACTGCGCTCCAGCCTGGGCAATAGAGCAAGATACGATCTCAAAAAAAAATAAAAAATAAAAAATAAAGTCTTTGCCTTTAAACAACTCAAAATCTAATTGTGTTTAAACATAAGCAAAATTTAAAGCAGAATGAGGTAAGTACTATAACTGGCTATGTAGGAAGCTGATGAAAGAAGTCTTGAACAAAATTTGGTGGAAGTCCAAATAAGAGTTAAATATTCTTCTCATTTTCTTTCTATTTTCTTTTGAGACAGCGTCTTGCTCTGTCATCTAGGCTGGAGGGCAGTGGTGCGATCATAGTTTACATCTCAACCTCCCTGGGCTCATGTGATCCTCCAATCTTAGCCTCTGAGTAGCTGGGACTACAGGTATGCATCACCACACTCAGCTGATTTTTAATTTTTTGTGTGGAGATGAGTTCTTACTATATTCCCGGGCTGTCTTCTCATTCTTTTAATTTACCCCTCTCCAGACAGTACACATTACTGCAAATTTCTGTCATAATCACGTTTCCAAGTCATCTTTAGAATCATTAATTTCACATTAAAACTCAGCATTCTGCAGTATCTTCAGTTAATTTTATACTTCCTATTTCTTCCTTTTTAAAAAAAATAATTTCTTTAACCATTAAAAAAATTGCAGACGGGGATCTTGCTATGTTGGTCAGATTCATTGTGAACTCCTGGCCTTGGCTTCCCAAAGTGCTAGGATTATAGGCATAAGCCATTGCACCCAGCTGTCTTTCTTTTTTTGAGACAGGGTCTTGGTCTGGTCATCACAGCTTACTGCAGCCTCCACCTCCCAGGCTCAAGCGATCCTCCTGCCTCATCCTCCAAGTAGCTGGAACTACAGGCATGTGCACCATGACCTGCTATAAATTAGTAAGTTTTAAATGCAAAAACTTCAGTGAAGCTTTTTGATAAATCACATAAATAACTCTTACTTAGTTGATGGAAACCTGGATGATAGCTAATTATTCTGTGCTGCTTCCTTCAGTAAACATTTTTATGTATTTTCTCTTTTTGCTTTCGAAGTATCAGTGCATATATTAATATCAAATTTTGACTGTGAACCAGCCCAACTTAATATGTATTCTGCACCTACAATGTATTAAGCACATTGTGAAGTATAAAGATATCTAAGACATGGTCCCTGCCCTGAAGGAGCTTTTCTAGTTTACTACTTTACCAAAACTGTCAGTACTTAGAAAATGTAAATTAAGGGCTAGGCGCAGTGGCTCCTGCCTGTTATCTGAGCACTTTGGGAGGCTAAGGTGGGCGAATCATGAGATCAGGAGTTTGAGACCAGCCTGACCAACATGGTGACACCCCGTCTCTATTAAAAACACAAAAATATGCCAGGCACTGTGGCTCATGCCTGTAATCCCAGCACTTTGGGAGGCCAAGACGGACGGATCATGAGGTCAAGAGATTGAAACCATCCTGGCCAACATGGTGAAACCGTCTCTACTAAAAATAAAAAAATTAGCCGGGTGTGGTAGTGCGTGTGCTGTAGTCCCAGCTACTCGGGAGGCTGAGACAGGAGAATCGCTTGAACTCAGGAGGCGGAAGTTGCAGTGAGCCAAAAAAAAAAAAAAAAAAA